CTGGTCGTGTGAGGAAGTCGCCTGGTCGTGTGAGGTATTCGCCTGGTCATATGAAGAAGTCCCCTGGTTCTGTGGGCTCTCCATTTCTCAGTCCTTGGTAACTTGTAACCCTACAAGCGTCTCCATGCAAATCCCTCCCAGTACATGAAATGTATCTCGACTCCACAGCGGAGGTCAGCTACCCACACAGCTAATAAGTAAAATGGACAAAAGAAGAAGCCAACTGCTGTACGTGTGGCTTATTAAATCTGAGCCAGTTATCGCTGACTCTCAGAAACAGTTGCCTTTCAAAAAATAAAAAAGAATGCACAGAATGAAAAAAGTACCCTGATTGTTTTTCCTTTAACAATAAAACAATAGTGAATTAACCACACTGAACTTGTCATCTTATGAAACATTACAATGAAAAAACAGTTAACTGGTCAACTGGTACTGTGATACAAAAAGAACAGTGTGCAGTTTGACGCGCACCTTAGTATGATGGATGGACGTGAGCTTGCAGTGGTACTGTGACACACCATTCCTGCCCTTAACTGAATCGCTTTCATCACTAGAAAATCATAGCTGGTGAGAGAAGCCCACATCCAGCAGCCCTGTAGTTAATTAAAATATCACTAAGTGTCCGTTTCTCACCACTCAGAAATCATAACCAGTGAAAATAATCGAGCATCCCACAGGCCCGTCCCGGCTGATGCCTGACTGGGGCCCTCTGCCTCATTTCATGCGCCTCGGTTTTGCACAGATCGATAAAGGTTACCTGGGTGCCAAACTACTCACAGCTGCCTAAAGAAGAGACAACAGCTCCTGTAACTCAACAAGCAGATTATGCTGCTCACCATGCAAACACCCCCCTTCCCCCGAGCGGTAAAGGCCCACCTACTAACGCAGCGGTAAAGGCCCACCTCCGCAGCAGTGCACTGGCTGATCCTCTCGGCCACACCAGTCGCAGCGAGCCTCACGAGTGACTCGTTATGTTAGCCAGCTCCAGCAGTAGTTTATTCTAACCTGGAATTTCGGGGTTAGACTATAACGAAACTCAAAAACTGTGTTCGCTTCGTTTCGTGGAAGTTGATGCGACAGCCTGCCACCCATTTAAAAAATTTAAATAATTACCCATATAAAAATAAATGTGAGTATCATAAATAATTCATAAAAATGTCAGAAATTGCTATGTACAGTTTGTACAATGTCTAGTTTACATATTTACATGTCGCAGGGCACAGAGGTCATTCCGAGAGATAAGGCTTTGAATTGTAGCACCGTAGGTCTTGTAAAACACGGTGACGTCTGTCAAAAGAAAAAAAACAAATTTTAGCTTGTATGTTTTAGTGTGAATCTTCATTGAATTTTCATTAATGGTGTATCTATCTGGTAATATTACATTCAAATATCAGGCATTGTATATAAGAAAAAGGTGAAATACCTGCTGTCTGCTCCAGAATCACTTCACTTTGACATGCAAGCCAGAGCCATTGAACAGAGTACACTTCCCACAGTACCCTCCACACATTCCCGTCACTTTGCTGCCATCCTGTGGAATAAAGTGGAACTTCAGTGCCATGCCAGCATCGACAGAAGAGTTGGGCTGGCTTCTGCATTCCTCAGTTCTCCTTGAGAGGTACAGGCACACACACAATGACTGAGATCAAGCCTCAGAGTCAGGGACCAGGGTCAGCTGGCTTCCCCAGGGCAGTAAAATGCCTTGCTTACAGTCCATCAGCTATGTGATCATTCTGCCGGCAAACTGACAGAGATGGCACACTGCCTACGTCTCTGAGCTACCCATTGGCCTACAAACTGCCTCCAGAAGGGGTCTGGGGTCTAGGTTCACGTGTCTTTAAGATAAGCAGCCCGTGGCAGCACTCAGGAGATCCATAATCCTGTGTAGCTCATAGTCTCCGCAATAAGGTTCATCTCGACTCCACGAGATGTAATTCTGTTCTGTACAGTTCAGAAGGAAGCGCAGGTCTTCCATTGTTCTCTATTGCTCTCCATTCTCCGTTCCCTCTCTGTTTGCCATTAATAACTTTGTCGTAAGTCCCCCCCAAGCCGGGGCCCCTCCCGGAGCTGCCGCGAGAAGGCCAGTGGGTAAAGAGGGCCCGGGGATTCGTTCGTGTGTAGAACGCGAGCCGCAGATGCCTGACTAAGCTTCATGCTACGGGAAAATTAGCGTGTTCTTTCATTCCTAAATGGTCGGGTGTAAATATTTCCTGCTCAGTTAGTGACAGAGTGCATGACCATGAAATCGTAACTATGAAAAGTTAGGATGTAATTACATCTAAGTACAGTGTGATTAGTATCTGATAACTGAGAACGATAAGGGGGGGCCATGGGTGGGGGTTGGGCACTGTTTCTCCGGTCACCTGTGATTTTTGTATGTTTGCTGCCGCATAGTTTCCTTGGGCGATCCATTTTGTGTCCTCAGCCACGAGAAAACCGGTCCCCGCGAGGTTGATGCTGAACCTCCCCTGTGAAACACAGCAGTTCATTCGCACCCAAGCTCGCCAGAAGGTGGCGCCAGTGGTGCTCGGCACTCGGTGAATCAGCAAAAAGAAATATGTACTTAGTGAGAAAGAAGTAAGACGAGAAATAAACAAATATGTGTCTGCATGTTCTTTGGTTCCTGTCACATGGTCCGCAGTGAACAAAGATGGATGAGGGAAAGTCAGGAGTGGTACGTCCCCCCCCACAAAGTTATGACTGGCCATGGATAAAGCGTATCCGCGATCACACGGTGTCCTGCAGCCATCCGTTACCGGGGGGGGGGGCTCCCTTCTGACAGTGCTCTTAGGCAGATGGTGTCCTGGGGTGGGAGGGGAGCTCTGTAAATGTAACGCCCCCCCTTCCGAGGTGGGGGCTGGGGGTCTGTAGACGTAAGCCTAATGCCACTCTTATAAACACGTCGTAGCAGGAATTCACAGCAGTTTTTAGGGCACCTATGAAATCAGCTCCAGATATGGATAAAACTGGTCATTGCCTGGGAGTCTCTAAACTGTCTGTAGTGTGATACCGTGTGTGTGTGTGAGTGTGTGTGTGTCTGTCTGTATGTGTGTGTGTGTCTGAATGTGTGTGTGCGTGTGTGTCCATGTGTGTGTGTATATGTGTGTGCCTCACGACAGTCTGGCATCCTAGTTATGGAAGGTGGATGGATTGCTGTGCACATGGCTTAATAGGTAGACAGACAGGCAGGCAGACAGACAGACAGGAAAGCAGACCAACAGCCAAACAGATAGGAAGGCAGACAGACAGGCAGAAAAACAGACAGGAAGGCAGGCAGTTAGCCAGACAGGCACGCAAACAGGCAGGCAGCCAAGCAGACAGGCAGGCAAACAGACAGGCAGGCAGGCAGACAGGCAGGCAGGCAGCCAAGCAGACAGGCAGGCAGGCAGGAAAGCAGACAGGCAGGCAGACAGGCAAACAGGCAGACAGGAAGGCAGCCAAACAAACAGGCAGGCAGACAGACAGGAAGGCAGACAAGCAGGCAGACAGGCAAACAGGCAGGCAGACAGAAATGGAGAGGGCTACATGGGATACGGATAAGTGCATGCTCACCTGCGGACACTGGGCGGCGCTGTAACAGTCACCAGCTGTAGCGAAGGGCACCTGGTGGCCTTCCTGTGTCAGGGAAAACTGCCAGTCGGTGGCTAAGAGAGCAGAGAAGGTTCTCGATCAGCACAGGGGACAGATGACAGCCTGCACAGGCGCCTCAGCTCCATGTCACCGGCCCGTGAAGAAGACGCCTCCTCCAAATCCGCTCCCCGCTTTCCCGCGAGGAGCAGCGACTCCTTCCTTTATGTCAGTGTAATTAGAAGCGTGGCGGCGATCTGTGGCCTGGGGGCTAAACCTGGGGTCCTCACCGCTGTAACTGTCAGCTACTCCGCCACCATAAAGCACATCTTGAACCAATTAACCCTCATACTTGGTCATAATTAAACATCAGCACAATTTGGCGGAAAACGAGGGGGCTCTTGTCCGGGTCTCGCTGCATCTTCGGAACCAACATAAGAGATTCCCAGTGGACATGTCTGTGGGCCCGCAGGAGAACCAGCGCTGCTGTCAGAGAACACATCTCTCCCCTGCACATCATGTGACTGCCTGGCCCGTGCATCTGCAGGGGCGTCTCTGGGGGGGGGGTAATCCAGCCCGGCACAAACCCGACTTCTGGCGATTAACAGAACCATGTGCCATATTATCACTCTTTGGAAGTATCGGCATCTTATTTTCCCACCAAATATTTTTAGGAAGTCGGATCACTATGATTCCGGGAATCCTTGTATTATGGGTTACGTTAGACATTATTTTGGAACAATCTGGGTATAGGGTAGGAACAGCTTAGTAATAAGCATGACATTAGTGAGGATTAAAATGACTTTGCAGACATACTGTAGACATGTGTTTGTTTACCAGCAAACAGGATTCTGGGTGCTCTGTCAGGAGGACCACGCTTTAGTTACGGCAGAAGGAAGAGGCCGACAAAATGGCCAAGATGTCAGCGACTGACTGCGGGAGTTTCTGTGTGATGCATCAGCAGTGGTGACAAGGAACAAGTGGGAAATTTTGGGGGGTGGATGTGACCCGTGCAAAAGGATGTGCAAAATACCGGCTTTACATACGACATGTGACCGTAAGGCCCTTTCAGGAAGGCAGGGTCATCCTTCTCATCTCTTCCTCCGAGGTGGGAATGCTGCTCTATTACAGTGTGGCAGAGGCCCGTGAACTTAATACAGAGGTCACCAGGGCAACAGCGGAGGGGGATGGCGGAATGTAGCCCTAGAAGCTGTTGACGGAGCACCCCCTAGTGACTCACTGATGATCTGCATCTTGCCCAGGTCTAGCCGGACTTTGCTGAAGGCTGACAGGCCAGCCGCGATGTAGTCCTTGCGGCAGTTGCAGTCCTCTCGCCGAGTGCCGTTGTAGGGGCACTCCATGGGATTGCTGAGCCTGAGATGGAGGAAAATGCACAAGAGAGGGTCCTCCGTTAGCCATGGAGAGAAGAAAACTGTCCCCTGGGGTCACTACTGAGGCCGAGGTGCACTATCACCTGAACCCGAAGACCTCTGAGAAGTTCTCTGTGCTGCCCGCCCTCAGCGTGATGTACTCCTTGGGGCTGCCTGAGTGCATGTCTGCACAGTAGATCTGGGGGCAACGGGAGAGAAGGTGAACCACTGTCTGCAAAGGCCCGCAGCATCAAAAACAGGTCTGGAGGACAACTGGAGATCCCTGGAGTTTCACATGTAAGAGCCAAGATTGACCAGTGCCCAAAAAAAAAAATCGGTTGGGGAATTCTCCATTGTGTATATTAAGACTTCTTTGTAATACAGAGGCTCAGTGGAAAAGATTAATCATTCTTAAAACAGGTGTAGAAATTTCACACAAAAGCTACAGTCTCCTGCTGAACATTTACATACATATGAGCAGTGGTGGGCAGGGCTTCGCTAATCCGCTAACCACTAATTTTATTGTTAGCGGATTAGCATTTCCGCTACCTTTAAAAACTGTTAGCAGACTAATTAGCTTCTGATATCTTTTTTTTCCGCTAACTGTAAATCCACATTTTTTTGCAAACCCTAAGATCATACATATTTGTTCTTGGTTGTTGTGAATGTGTCTGCAATCTGGCACGCTATTGGCTGACTACGTAACATGTGATTAGTTGATAACTTGTCAGATTTAAGGTAGTCTGGGCTAAATGTACGTAAATGAAGATAAAATCCACTTAATCGGGGGTACCTTGAACTAAGTGGAGAACAGGGGCCTGTATCACGAAGCTGGATTTCGTGCTTAGCCAGATAACCTGTCGGATTTAAGGTGCCCTAATTTAAATGGACTTTATGTTCATTCACTTACATTTAATCCAGACTATCTTAAATCCGGCTAAGCAAGAAGTCCTGCTTCATGATACAAGCCCCTGCTTGTATTTTCCGGGTTCTGACTGACAGAGTTAAAGACCAATAACGAGCTGACAGCCTCTTTCGTAGTTCTGGCTAATCGCCGTCATGTTGATAATCCCCCAGCGGTTTCACTGAGGGAAAAATATCAGCACAGGCTGGTTGCAGAATAGGGCTTCATTGACAAAGACGTTTATATCTCGCAAACAGAATATAAGGATGGGCTCCCCCTTTGGGTCTGGTTAGGGTTAGGGCTTCCTCTGCTGCCCCCTGGAGGACGGGCTCCCCCTTTGAGTCTGGTTAGGGTTAGGGCTTCCTCTGCTGCCCCCTGGAGGACGGGCTCCCCCTTTGAGTCTGGTTAGGGTTAGGGTTCCCTCTGCTGCCCCCTGGAGGATGGGCTCCCCCTTTGAGTCTGGTCCCTCTTAGGGTTCCCTCTGCTGCCCCCTGGAGGATGGGCTCCCCCT